GCCCCAGTAGATAGTTGTATGTCATAGGTGCACATCCTTCTAGTTGCTGTATGTGGGACGCGGCCTCAGCACGGCCGGAGAAGCGGTGCGCCGGTGCACGCCGGGGATCCGAACCCGGCCCGCCAGCAGCAGAGCGCGCGCACTTAACCGCTAAGCCACGGGGCCGGCCCAAGAACAGGAGACTTTGGATAAGGGACCTTTTTATTTTTGTAATTTATGTCTAAGTAGAAATTACTTCCAAATAAAAAGTTTAAAAAGTTAACAGTGGTTAGTTATTTCTGGGTAGTAAGATATCAGTTTATTTTGTCTTATTTGAATTTTTTTCAATAGAAGAAGCATGTATTAATTTAGTAAAGTTAAAAGAGCTATTAAAATGATGCTGTCAGTGGGGGGGTGGGTCACGGCCAGTATAAGATATGTGGGTGCCCCAAGAAGATTTGATAATCTGGTGCTCTTCAAACCAATGTTCTTCCAATACTGTATTTAATGTAGTTTGGGGCAGGCCCCCTCAGAGACAAGCAACCCAGCTCCATTTAATTCATCAGCAAGACAAACATTGTGTGTTAAATCAAATCCACCCTCCTAGAGGAAGTATCAGGACCCTTGGTTGTTATTCCAGCATGTTCCTTGGGGGTCTCGTCCTCTGCTCTCTCTGAGGAGAGTTCCAGTTACCACAATGGTCACTGTGTTCATGGCTGTTTTAGCCTCTTTACAGTGCAGAGCACTAAGCAACTCTCTGACTTAATCTGACCCTGAAAAATGGGAGTTTTCATTGTCTTCTCTTCACTTTTCTGCAAAGAACATATATTGCTTTTGTAATAAGAAAAAAAAGTAACCTTAAAAAAGAAAACAACATGATTGGTTAAAAATCATTCCCCAGAGGGGAAGAAGCAGGCCTGGCCTGGCAGCAGCCATGGCACCATGCCTGAGATCCCAGGCAGGCAGAGGCCAGAGGACAGGTATTTACAGCCCAGGGCGTTGCCAGGCCTCTTCCCACTGCACATGGGCTCTCAGGACACACTCTCCAGGTAGTTCCCAGGACAGGAGCTTAACTTCAACCCTTTCTTCCCACACGAGAAAGCAGGGAACAAGAGTGACACTATCACAGGGACGACCTTGAGTTTGTGCTAACTTATAAAAATATAAATAGGGCCAGCCCCATGGCTTAGCAATTAAGTGCACGCGCTCTGCCACTGGCGGCCCCGGTTCGGTCCTGAGCGTGCACCAACGCACCGCTTCTCCAGCCATGCTGAGGCCGCGTCCCACATACAGCAACTAGAAGGATGTGCAACTATGACATACAACTATCTACCGGGGCTTTGGGG